GCAACATCGAGTCTGACAGCTAAGCCCTGTCATAGAATGAAATCACAATTCAGTTCACAACTATAGTCATTTGTTTGTTTTTATTTTTGTGAATTTGTTATCGAAGTAACAAACAAGCGTTATAATTGGACTCTGACATTTTATCCCACCCTACTGACCACGGCCTGAACATGGACTCCGCACCCGCTTCCTTCAATAACCCCTGCACGAACTTGGACTCGATATCCACTGTTAACAATGATCCCAGCTTCCACGCCGGCCAGACTTCTTCCCAGCCCTTGGTAACTCATTCAAGAGGACATTTTCGCTGTGTTAATTGTTGTTTAAATATAGCGAAAACACGAAGGCATTTGTTGGAAATTCCAGAACTGCGAAATCTTATACAAGAATGGGTTCGACCACAGCAGGTAAATAGTTACAATTATGTGTCATGTCTTCCTTTTCTTCATTCTACAATAATTATGGCTTCTTTATTAGGTACAAGTTTCGAGTGATAGTGTAGTATGCCACGCATGTTAGACTGCAGCCTGGAATCAAATACGACATCCAACTAGCGAACAGGAAAATTCACCAATTATTAGTCATGGACATGTATGTATCAGCTGTGGCAAGTCACTTTTGAGAATAAGATCACACACATTATTTGGGTCTGATTCTCTACGTGAGGAACTCATAAGGAATGAAATTGCCCATCAAATTGCACCACGTGAGGTACGTGTTCAACATTTTTTTAATTTATTAAGTGTGTGTGCTCATATCTGATAGTGATACATGTTTTTACTCTGATTACATCCACACAAACTATATCTGACAAACATACAAGCTTATTTATAACATGGCGATAAGATTAGTTTGTCACCACCAGGTAGAGTGCTACCGTTTTTACCAACTACCAAGTAATGAGACAATTGATTTTTCATTGTTTTTGGACTACTGGGAGTTTTTAAGTGCTTAATTATTAAATAATATAGGCCATTAAATCTGCTTTTGTGCAGTAACAATTAACTTGATAAATATTTTATATGTATTTGAGTTTAAAGGAAACAAAATCTATTTTATTTTTATTTAGTTCACTTTTTCACTTTTGTATTTAATATTATTTCAGTTGCCATCGTCATCTCGTGTGTGTCATAATTGTTGGCGAAGGTTTGATAGAGCAGCATCACATTCAACTGCAGAACGGGAACCATCTGAATCATCCAGTTCATCCTCGTTGCAATCTGAAGTCGGTAATGTATTGCACCCAGATCAACAAAGCTTAGATCATATATCACATAGTATACTGCTACCTAATTATGTAAGAGCACCACTAACACAAAATCAATGTTTTTTTCCTGGTTGTAACGACTCCAATCGACTAATTGTTCCAACAGCGTTGCGGGTACGTCTTTTTTGTGATTACAATTACTATGTACCTCCAGAATGTAGAATCTGTAACTACCATTTAAATAGTAACTCTTGGGATTTACTTTTAGAATCAATATATAATCCTATTAAAACATTTAGTGCAGCACAAATTAAAGATTTTGCTACATTGTTGAAAGATAATATGCATAATCATATAGACTTTGAAAATATTGACAGTATGCCTGAGCACACTGTACATTATTATCTAGGCTTATCAAAGGCACAATACCAACAAATTCTCTCTGTAGTTCCTAGACTGTCAAGTAAACATAGGGGTTGTTTTGCACTTGCTGCATATTTAATGAAGTTAAGAATAGGAGATAGTGACGAACGCATGTCAGCATTATTGCAAGTGCCATGAAGCACATTAGAGCGGCTTATAAATATGGCCCGCGAAATAATTAATCAGGATTTTGTTCCTATGAATTTGGGCATAAATCATATATCCCGAGCAGAAATAGCTCAAAGAAATCTTCTCATTCCAAATGGACTTTATGGGGGAGAAAATAGGAGGCCTGTCATAATTGCCGATGGTACATATATATACATAGAAAAAAGTTCCAATTATTTATATCAGAAAAAAAACTTACTCATTACACAAATATAGCAATCTTATAAAACCTTTCCTTTTTGTGTGTAGTGATGGTTACATCATAGATGTTTTAGGCCCTTATCCTGCAACAACCTCAGATGCGGATATCATAAAAAATGAATTTGGTAATGAATCCAGTTCATTAAGGCAATATTTTGAATCTGGAGATGTATTCATCCTAGATAGAGGCTTTAGGGATTCATTGCCTCTTTTAGAACATTGTGGTTATCAGGTTCATGTACCTTTGTCTCCACCCGATGGTGAATCTCAGTTAACGACTAGAGAAGCTAATAAGTCCAGAGCTGTGACTATGTATCGATGGGTAGTCGAGGTGGTGAATGGCATTTTTACTTTAGAAATATAAATGTAGACTCTGAAAATGTTAGGGAATTTCCTGTTTTAACTTACAGTGATTTAATATTAATTGCTTGTGACACATACCAATTAAAGCAAGCTCGCTCCTATTATGGTGAGCATATTAGATTTAATGGTTGTTATCGGATAGAATTATGTAACAACCACAGGAGCAGCATTACGGAAGGAATAAACTTTAGCCCTAGCTGCTCTTTACTTAGGGCTAGAATCGCAAGTCGACACATCAGTCGTAAAGTATATTTTATATATATATTTTAATTAGTGGCAATGATTCTGGTAGAAGTGCAATTAAAAAGTATTGTTGCAATTGTATTGTCGGCCGTCGAACGGTAGGATGCTGTGCCCATGTTATGACAGTAATTTGGTATTAAGGTAGGGCACGGCATAAGTCTAATATTTCGCCTCCTGCTCAATTCCTGGATAATGTATTGATTGTGTATGATACAAATGTTGTATAAGATTGTATATATAAGATAAGATTCTTCGTACGTGGTAGGGTCATGCTGCAGTTATAGTTGTAGCATGAATGGGTCGGCTCTACCAGGGAAGGACCACGCTCTCACAGAGAACCGGCGTAAAATAGTACCTTAATGCTGCTGTGTTTCGGATAGGGAGTGTAGAGAACCAGAGACCCTGGCAACGAGGCATTCCATCCTAGTCCTCACGGGTGGCAACACATCTGTATTTTGATTCGTAATCGAGGATAGATGTTGATGTCTATGAGCCACAGCAACCACTTACCATCAGATGGACTGTGCGCTCGGTTGTCACGCTATCCTATAAAAAAATCATAAAATAAATTAAAGATCTGATCAAAACTTGATTATGATATTAGTTAGTTTACGACGGGCTGTTTTCCGCAACTCCACGTCTAAGCGTGTATTTTACGTGTGGGCAGGAATAATGTGATTACTAAAGGCAAGCAATAATAAAAAGTTATATATAATTCCTATAATATAATAATAATTAAGTTAATTTGCGTCAACCCCCTTAATTCCCTTACACACATTAGTGTTTAGGAGAAAGGATGTGAGGCTAATGGGTCTCTAGGATTTAGGATTTGCGTATACACTCCTACCTGGTTTGGGTATGAATGTGACTTTCACTTTCATACCCAAACCCTTGGAACACATCTCATTATGACAACAAGTCTGCCTATTAAGGCCTTCCCCCCACCACCACAGTAGGAGTGCTGGGAATCTGCTGACAGGTCCTGCTAGCTTATTGGGGAGGAAATTATGAATTTTTTCCCGCGCCCTCTTTTCCCAAAAGAGGGTCGCTTCCGATACGGCATAAGAAGCTTAAACAGCCAGTTGCCAGTCCCCAAAGGCGGTTTTTAGAGGGTATCACTTAGGTTCCCCCCGGTAGGCAGTGAGTCCCTCATAATCACGATAGACCGGCTATCGTGGTATGCGTAATGCATTTTCCGCCTACCTTCATAAAGGGTAGCCCTTTCCAATTGCTTCGGGCGCAAAAAAAAAACCAATGGATTTTATCCATTGTTACCACTCTGTGCTAAATTCCATTCAGTGATTAGATATTATACTAGAGGCCAATAAGTCCTTAGCATTCCCAGATGTGTTAGTCATCCGAAATTCTATTAACACCATAGGTTACACTGTATATAGAAAAAAGTCCCATACAAACCAATATTTAAACGGTGAATCTCACCATCATCCTTCACAGTTAGCTACCGTGGGCAACTCTTTGTTACAGAGAGCACAAGGGATCTGTGAGCGCAAACACCTGGCTGCCGAGCTTCAGCACGTCAAGCAAGTTCTGCACGACAACAAGCTTCGGGTCCCGCACCTATGTCACAGTACCGAGTGAAGTCGGGCACAGTCGAGCATGTGCCTGCTGTACTACCATATTTCAGAGGTATTACGGACAAGATTGGCTACATCTTGAAGCGAGCTCCTATTAGAACATTCTACAAGCCGCTGAAGAAGATACATATAATATCAGATTTGATAGACCACAAATCCTCGCGAAAGAACATCGATTCCTGCCAAGGATTATATGTGAGGCTATTGAAATTAAAAACATTCTAATTTCAATAGAGAAGGAAGCTGGGTACTCCCACCTGTTTAGGACCCTGTAAATAATAAAATTAAAACTAAACCCAAGCATACCACGCAAGACTTCAAGACAGTAAGTTCATTAAGTTCATTCTGCATATATCGGACCATAAATAGTTATTAAAAAGCTGAAGTTACTCCAAGTTAACACTGATTCGGTACACCAGTCACCTCAATCCCCCCATGACCATGTGTGCTGGAAAGCACCCAAAACGTCGAGAATTAAAAATCAAAGAAATTAAACTTTAAAATATGTAAAATTAGTTGTTAAAAAACTGTATTTGTGAAAATAAAAACTTTTATATCTTAAAATTCCCGACTTTTTTTAAACCAATTTCTTAACCATTTCATTCTTTTAATTGTATATTATCACATCTATATGCTTTTATATGTGGGCACCCATGGCCGAAATGTCTATGCAGAGTGGGCATTCCTCTTTAATTGGATCATACACAAACACAACCAGGTAGCTAAACTTGGCTACAGCTATCTTTAATCTACCACTCGTGATCACGTATAGAATAATATTTTATGATCGTCATACTCACAGTGTGTGTAGCAGTGTTGAGCTTGGTGTCCCCCTTCCACCAAGACAGCAGTGGAGGGGGGCGCGCTCCTACCACTTGGCAGGTGAGTGTGGCAGCCCGCCCCGCAACTAGAGGGCGCTTTCCTCCTTCGATGTGCACCCACAACGGACGTACTAACAAAGTAATATGTTATAGTAGATCTCGACATGATTAGTACACCAAAATTAATTTGCAGATTTTTGATTAAAGATGACTAACGGTTACGTAGGTAGTCCACATTATGGTAAGTTGATGCTATTACCTATAAACATCTACATCTACAATCGATTAAGAAACAAAAGACAGATGCGTTGTCACCCCCGAGAACAAAGATGAAATACCTCATTTTACCAGTAAAAAGGGTATCTATAGTCATTATAGGAACTTTTAATCTACGAACACTTTTATACGTGGTAGAGCCACGCTGCAGCTAAGCACGAATTGGTCGGCACGACCGAGGAAGGACCACGCTCTCACAGAATACCAGCGTAAAATAGCAGCTTAATACTGCTGTGTATCGTATGGTGAGAGAAGAGAAACGAGGCATTCCATCTTAGTCCTCAAGGGTGACAACGCATCTACGTTTTGATTTCTAATCGAGGATAAATGTAGATGGCTATGAGCCACAGCATCCATTTACCATCAGGTGAATGTGTGCTCGTTTGTCACCATAATTCTATAAAAAAACACTGTAATATCAAGCTCTATATTCTATGAGATCGTCGACCAATACTGGTTAAGCCGACCCATTCGTGTTGCACCTATATACAGCTGTAGCGTGGCTCTAACACGTAAAATATAAAATAAGTATTTAACATATTCAGCGCATATTAAGGAACAACATATAAATAGTTCGTACAATTTTAAATATATAAACTGTACATTAAGAGGGGCGCTTCGCTGTGTATTAAATCGCAGAAGAAAATTTCGGAAAAGTAAAGTACTTCTAAAAAGGAAATACCAGATAAAAAAGAGGTTGCATCAATACAAATAGTGTGGAATTTTACAACATACTCATGTCAGAGTAAGTGTAACCTTCAAACATTATGGGAAGTTATAAAGTACGTACAGTGCCGGAAGTGTACGTGAAAAAGAAAAATAACACCAATATGTGTAGTACTTTCATCTGTATGGCTGACGTCATGAGCGAGCACTAAATATTGAAAAGGAGCTGTGGCTAGTGTCAGTCTGCTTCTCCTATTTGATGACACGTAAATTTATTTATTCATAGAAAAATATGTGTACAGAATCCATTTTGTGATAAATCTGGACTTCATTATGCGACTATATCATTATTTAATACAAACATGAACGCACGCGCACGCATACATGCATGCACGTATGCATGCACGTATACACACGCAGCCACACGCACACATGAACGCACGCAAATAATCATGCCCACTTTCCATACATTGAATGACCTGTCACTTGATTTCTTTAACAGGTCGCGTCTACCTACAACTACTGTTGTATAAAAACAATTATTGTTCATAATAACGTAATAACTTATCATCTTTTTATTTAGAGGGCAGGGAAAAATGCTTTTAAGTAAATACAAGTTTGTGGTTATAGCAGCCGTCAGATAAGGTCTGTACACTTATTTTTATTTCCACACCATAGCATAAAACCATCAAAAATCCTATATAATCATAAATTAATTAATTATAAAAAAAGAAATTGGTTATTTTGAACATTCATAAACCACATGACGAATGAGCAAGTTTTTAGTAGCCTGTAACGGAACGTGTAAAACACATTTTTAATATATTTTGGCACGGCTTCTGGGCCTTTGAGCCATTGTAAAACACGTTCCGTCTCCAAAAGTCTATTGAGAATGATAAACAAAGTAACATTACTTTTTTTTCTGGCCTTATTTGAAAATTCAATTATGCGATACGAAATAAGAAAAAAATATGCAATTTTATAAGATATTTTATATCACTAGACGCGAATAGAAAATTTTCAGGTCAAGACTGGACATGATTCTTTATGACAAATACAGAGTAAAATAGAGATGGAGAGATAAAGAGAAATACATTTAATAATACACAAAGCGATATCATGACAAATTATAACAAAGTTAACGATAAGTCGCTCGCGTCCGTAGGCTTTGACCACCTAATCCTAGGCCCACCCTACACGTGTCCCCCGGGTGGTGCTAAATGAGCGACAAGCCGATAGCACAGACTCGGCTCCTCGCCGTGGTAGCGGCGTTAAATATACCACCCCATTCGCACCATGAGGAATCAAAGTAAAGAAATGGCCCCGAGTTCCCGGCGCCCCTTTAATGGGGCAGGGGTGCGAAGAATCTCCGGGAGGAAAACCGGCGACGAGGCTCGCCACCCGTCACGTTCTGTCTCCCGGAGGGGCGAAAAGTGGATTGCAGAGGCCCGTCTGGCTACGTTGAATGTATGTGGAGCAATGAATGATAAAATGGGTGAAGTATGCGAGGTGATGTATGATAGAGGAATAGATTTGTTATGTGTAAATGAGACGAAACGGAAGGGGAAGGATGTCACTACACATGGCATGTATACCGCATACTGGTCTGGTGTAGACGAGCTCGAGCGGGCATGCCAGGGAGTAGGGATCATCCTATCAGAAAGAATGGTGCAATGTGTGAAAGAGTATGAATGTGTAAGCCCAAGACTGCTATGGATACGATTGAAAGTGGGCTTAAAGAAGTTGTTTGTACTAGGGGTCTACGCCCCAGACATGTCTAAGCCCACTCATATCCGAGAGCAGTTTTGGGAAATGGTAAGGATGGTATTAATGAAATGTAAGGGAAATGAAAATGTTGTTATGCTAGGAGATTTTAATGGAAGAGTTGGGGTGAGGAGGCTTGGTTATGAAAGGATATTGGGAACGTTTGGTGATGAAAGTATAAATGAGAATGGTGAAAGCCTCCTCACTGTATGTATGGAAAAGAATCTTTTTGTGACGAACACTTTCTTTCGCCACAAGAGGATTCACATGTACACTTGGGAAAGAGGTGATGATAGAAGCATGATAGATTTCATAATTGTGGATGAAAGATTGAGGGGCGCAGTGGTGGATACAAGGGTTTACCGGGGGGTCAAACGTAGGAACGGATCATTTTTTGGTTTTATGCCGAATTAATGGTCTATTCAGGCGGTGGCGCCATCGGTCATCCGTGTCTACCACTGCGTTACAGCGTATTAGAACAGAAAGATTACAAGATGAAGGTGAGAAAAACAAGTTTAAATGTAGACTGAAAGAAAACGTAAGTGGTTTGGATGAATTATGTATGAATGAGTTAGACTTGGAGAATGTATGGCAAAATGTTCAGAAAGGTTTAGTAGATGCAGCTACCGAAGTATGTGGTGTTAGTAAAAGAAAGAATGAAAGGAAAAATAATACGTTATGGTGGGATGATGAGATACGTACGGAAGTTGAAGCAAAGAAGAGAGCATGGCTAGATTTACTAGCAACTAAGGCTGGTAATTCAAGCGGTACGAATGATGATTTTGAAAGAAAAAAGGCAGTCTTTAGACATCTAAATAAAAGAGTAAAAGAAGTAGTTGAAAGGAAAAAGCAAGAAAGAACGGATAAGAATGATAGAAGAATATCGGATAACTTCCAGGCAAATATTAAAATGTTCTGGAAACTCGTAAGAACTGCCAGGGGATGTTCAAAACAGCCTATAATGAATGCTATAAGAGATGAGAATGGCTATATTCTGAATGATGAAGTTTTGAGTTTAAAGAGATGGAAGGAATATTTTGAAAGCATGTTTATGAGTGAGGAGACAACGTATGAACTGAATGAAATAGGAACTCCGAAAGAAGAGGAAGAAGGTAGCGAGATAAGTATAGATGAAATAATGAAAGCAATGAGAAGCATGAAAGCAGGTAAGGCTGCCGGATATGATAGAGTTTCACTCGAAATGCTAAGGGCTGGAGAGGACGTGGTGGCAGGTCTGCTGCACACCTTGTTTAATTTATGCTGGGAACTGAAGCGGGTACCGGGAGACTGGTGCAAAGCCGTGATAGTCCCAGTATATAAGGGAAAAGGGTCGCAGCAGGACTGTAAAAACTACCGCGGTATCAGCCTTCTTAGCATCGTGGGAAAACTGTATGCCAAGGTACTAATTGAAAGGGTCATGAAAGAAACCGATGGAAAAATTTGGGATGTGCAAGCGGGATTTAGAAAGGGAATGGGATGTACAGATCAAGTCTTCTCCATGCGCATGATCGCGGAGAAGTTTTTTGGCCAAAAACCAAAAGGTTTTTTGTGCGTTCATGGACTTGGAGAAGGCCTATGACAGAGTGGATAGGAATGTGCTATGGCAAACACTGAACTCATTTGGGTTGAGCGCTGGCTTGATACAGGCATTGGAATCTCTTTATAGGGACTCTAGTGCTTGTGTTAGGATCAACGGGGTCTACTCGGACTGGTTTGGCATCCATAAAGGTGTCAGACAGGGCTGTGTGGCTTCCCCGTGGTTGTTCAACCTATTTATGGACAGTTGTTTGCAAAATTTGAAAGTTGAAGAATGCGGATTAAGAATGGGTGAGTTAACCATCAAATGCCTTTTGTACGCCGATGATCAAGTTATTCTTGCGTCGTCGGCGGCTGAGTTGCAAATGATGGTTACATTAATGAACAGATCATTAAAAGAAAGGGGTATGAAAGTGAACGCAAGTAAGACAAAAATTATGGTTTTTGAAAGAGATGAAAGTAAAACGATATGTGAAATAAGAATAGAAGGGGAGTTGATCGAGCAAGTAGATGAGTTTGTATATTTGGGTTGCGTATTTAGCAGGGATGGGAGATATGATAAGGATATAGAACGACGAGTGAACGCAGGAAACAGAGTAAATGGAGCCCTGCACTCTATTGTGAAGAGTCAAAATGTGTCAAAAAAGGCACGTATGGCAATTCACAATGCTGTGTTGGTCCCTACTTTAACGTATGGTAGTGAAAGTTGGGTATGGCAGAAGAAGCACGAGAGTAGAATAAATGCAGTAGAAATGAGGTCGTTAAGGAGTATGTTAGGGCTGAATCTGAATGACAGGGTGAAAAATTGTGTGATAAGAGAAGAGTGTGGTTTGCAAGATGATGTTGTGACCAGGATTAAGAAAGGAATGCTTCGGTGGTTTGGTCATGTGGAAAGAATGGATGAGGAAAGAGTGACAAAGAAAATTTATGTTGCAGAAGTGAATGGCAGAGTCGGAAAGGGACGTCCTAGGCGAAAATTTATCGACCAAATTGGCGATTTATTGAAAACGGGCCAAATTAGGAGTACCCTTAACCGACGAGCATGCATGCGTAGGTGTATGGATGTGAAGGAGGCGAGAGAGGTGTGTCAGGATCGTGCCAAATGGAAGTCTGTAGTCTCTGCCTACCCCTCTGGGTGACAGGCGTGAGTGTTTATGTTTATGTATGTTTATGTTAACGATAAGATCGTAATGATTATTAACTTACAATTAATGTCTATAGATAGAGTTCTTGACAAAGGCGGTATCGATGGATCTGTCACAGCCTGTTACAAATAGAACGTATAGAATTAATGTCATATTCTGTTAACACGCTATCAAAGAAGTACTAATTGTATACTTACTTTATATTATTTAAGCTACTATATTTAAGTTTAATAAAAATAATATATTTCTTTTTTGTATTTTTATTAACAATTAATTTAGACGCCTCTATAAGAAACCCACGGAGTGAACACATGGGGTAGTGTTACAAAGATTCTACACGGCCATTATGGTTGACATCGATGATTGTGATCGCAATACCAAACGCTATTCTTTATCACCGACCTGGAAATCTTTGAGATGGCTAATCTACCATCTGTTCGAGGCTGATCTCCTGATTTTCGTAGTCACCCCTCACGATACACACAGGACGAGATGCAATGACGCAGTGTCATCCATCGAACTTATACGACGCGGGGTTTACAGACGAAGAAAATAACGCGACGTCCGCGTCAACAGTACTAAATATCGCGTTATTTTCTCTTTTGCAACTGTATTGAACCCCGCTTGTGTGTATGCGATTCTATACATTTGTGTTAAGCTTCCGCACTCTCAATCACTCTGCAAGTACTATGCGTGCACGGAAAGAAGAGTACTGTCAATTTGACATTATAATAAAGATATTAATAGTTATTTTGCAACCATCCGCTATTTAGCGGTCAGCCGCCGTAGAGTCAACATCATCTGAAGATAGCTCGTGTAGCGGCGAAACATGTGTCGTAATGTCGTCGATGGTGTGTGAGGGCGGGAGGTGCTCTTCAAACTAGGGAAGACACATTATTTTATTTAATTTAGCGGATGGTTACAAAGTAACTAAGTATTAATATCATTACTATAATGGATTTCCGCAAAGCAACACCTGATTCTATCAATTTGCCATTATTCACTTCGTATTGTAGCAACTTCATGTAGGTACATTGTATCGCAATAAATGAAACAATTAATTTTTAAATAAATAAAATTATACTCTTTACTGGCGCTGTGCCATGAAAAACGATTTTTATAGACTGAAGTTTTCAGTGAACCCAATTTTATTCTTAACCTGTATGTATTTATATTGTTCTTGCCTGACAAGTTATGTTCCTGCCGTAGTCAGATCTCCGTAGGCTGAAGGAAGCTTTCGCCTTCCCCTCGGAATTGTCTAGCAAAGCGTGGGATTTCCACCACGACACCCTTGCAGTAGGACGACCTGGACAATACAATTAATATATTCATTAAAGTTGCGTTCTACTTATTTCGTCACGGAACTGTAAAAAATATCACGTCTGTAACATTATGCTTAACGTTACCGTTACAATATCTCAAAATTCCAACATATCACGACTGTAACATTATGCTTACCGTTACCGTTACAATATCTCAAAATTCCAACATATCACGACTGTAACATTATGCTAAACGTTACCGTTACCGTTACAATATCTCAAAATTCTACTGCTAAACATAGGAATCTCCACACTGTAAATTGCCTCATAAGGGGAATATTTGCCACCGTTGCCACAATCAGCAGGCGGCTTGGCAACCGCAGTTTTTTTATATTTTAGACGCTACTGTCTATCGCCTGATTTGTTTCCCTCTGTCGCCTCTTACGACACCCACTCGAGGATATGGGTAGTGGACATTCTAACACCGCAATTACACGGTCAACACAATCATGCGTACAGCAAAGGAGTGGAATAAGTTGCCAGCATCTGTCTTTCCATCCGATTACAATGTGGGTGTCTTCAAGGCAAGAGTGAATAGATTTACGTTAAGTCAGTGCGCTTTACCATCTTAAGCTACATCACCACTTACCAGCAGGTGGGATTGTAGCTAATTCTGGCTTAGAAAATTTAAAAAAAATATATAAATATAAAAAAGCGGTCTAGGTGTGACCCAGTCTCTCAATCTCAGTGGAAAGAATAATAAAATAGAATGCTCTTAACAATAAAAAAAAGCTTTTATTAACGATTTTTAAGAAATTGGAGAAATTTTTCGCAATTACAAACTAGTTTAAAAATTTGCGATAGATCGCTAACACCCACTTAGACGCAAAAACATTCTACCACAAAAACCACTTGCAACTTTTAATTTTTAACTATAGCTAATGTCGTAATCATCATCATTATTGCAGCTTATTATTAGTCCACAACTGAACACAGTACTCCTCTAATTACATATACTGTATGACCTTTTTTACCTACTGGCAAAAATAGGGTGTAACATGTCACCGAAGTAGAATCATATGGCACTGATATTTTACAAAAAATAAAAACAAATATTTTGAATGAAATAAATAGAAATTAAAATCTATCGAAATTCAAATCATATCCACCCTACTTTACCAACGGCAATAAAACAATAAATTTAGTAGACATCTTTGACCTTGTCATTTCGCAAAGTCACAAGCTCGAGGGTAAAGGGCAGAGTAATCGTTAAAAATACTTTTTAAGCGTTTAATTCAATTTTTTTTTGTAAAATATCAGTGCCATAGGCTCCTACTCCGTTCACATGTTACACCCTATTTTTTTCCAGACGGTAAAAAAGGTTATTCAGTAAATATGTATATATTTTTATACCAAACAAGCGAGTGACTCACCTGATGTTAAGTGTCGACCGCCGCCCATTAACAACTGCAACACCAGAGGAATTGCAAGTGTGTTGGCGGCCTTTTAAAAAGGAGTAAGCTCGTTTTTTGTACCTGCCTAAGTCGTATCGGTTCGGAAAAATCACTGGTGGCAAACGATTCCATAAAGCAGTCATGCCCGGAAGGAAACTCCTAGTAAATTGTACAGTAGTGAACCGCCAAGAATTCCAAAAAGTTTTGTCGTGATGTGCATTAGTGAAATTTGACGGCTGGAATATAACTTATCTATCGTCCTTTACACGTATCATCAGGTCATCCATCTAAGTACACTAGTGGCCAACCTACAATGCTCTTATCAATGCGAAGCTTCTACTCTACGAGCAATATGACTGACCTATAGCAATTTTAGCTAACTAAGCTTGTGAACTAGGTCAGCTATTCTCGTTCGATTCGGTTCGGTTCTTTTTCAAATATCTTCGATACGTATCCCTCTCGCAACTTATTGAGCTATTTTAATCTCGTACGACTAGTTAGTAAAGAACTACGTGCGGTTTCATAAGTTATCTTCTATGGTATCATATATAGAGCCGTACCACGGCTCAGATGGTTAGCGCTCGCTGTAAATTTCACTGTACGCGAGCAAACCGGGTTCGATTCCCGCCGGCACCAATGAAATTGTTAATTGAAATTTTAAGTGCTCGGCGGTGAAGAAAAACATCGTTAGGAAACCTGCATGTCAGAGAAATAAGAAAAAAATATTTATAATATATATATAACGAAGACATGCGAAGTTCACTAACACGCATTAGGGCAGCGCGGCGGACAATTCCTTGCCCTAAAACCCTCTCAGAAATGATCGGGGAAAAACCTGTGCCCAGCAGTGGGACGTATATAGGCTGTAACTTTACTTTTAACTTTACTATGGAATCACGAACTAAATGCAAAATATTTTAAATACAATTTTAAAGAATACCAAACGAGAAGAAATTTATGACATAATAAAATAATTAATGTTAATGATTGTTAGTTCGTACTTAAGCTTGTATAGTACTTACCTCCTACGGCAATACAAGTCAAATTGATCGCAGTGTCCTCGTCGTAAGGTCCTATTACGCTTCCTTCTACTTCTTGTCCCTCGTGGTTCATAATAATTAGCCTGTCTGGTGGTACTGCGAACAAAAGAAATATCGCTAACTGAAAAGACTGTATCTGATACATAAACGTGCAAGTAGCAGTTCGGTACCGAACTTTTGTTCTATTTGAAATGCTCGAATGTTCAAAACTTTATTGCACTCGATGATGTATTAAATTATACTCAAAACTTAACCGAGTAGTAGCATTGTAAGCATATCTACTATCCAATATTGTCCCGTGAGTGTCGTAAGGTGCGACAGAAAGAAACGGGAGATGGGCTGCAGCATTTTTTTATAGGATAAGTTTGACAAACAACCACACAGTCCACCTGATGGTAGGTATTTACTGCGGCTCATAGACATCTACATCTATCCTGGATTACGGATCAAAATGCAGATGCGTTGTCACCCGTGAATTGCCCGGAATGCCTCATTACCAGTAAAAAAGGGTCTCCCGTTCTCTACACTGACCATACGAAACAGCAGCATTAAGCTAACATTTTACGCTGGTATTCTGTGAGAGCGTTATCCTTCCCCGGTCGAGCCAACCCATTCGTGCTACAACTATACTACTAATGTAACTGCAGCATGGCTCTACCACGTATAAAACGTTTAGCAAATGGCAGTAATCATGCTACAACCATAATGCAGCGTGGCTCTACCACGTATGAAAGCATCTTCCTAAAAAAAAAACTCAAAATTAGAAATAAGAATAAAAGAAATAAGAAAATAAATTATACTTATATGTTATACACTTATATGTTAATTGTTAACTGTAACTTATAGCCAATTTCTATTAAGTAGCGTTATGTTAATTATTAAGTACGCACGCTGCAACCTACTTGCTTTTTATATAAAACTATTTCTCTTTCCCAATAGGTTTGCTGGAAGAGAACTCTTATTAGGGTTAAGCTCGCCTTTGTACATTTATTTAAATATTTAATAATTGTTACCAACTTATTGTGTGTACAATAAAGAATAAGTAAAATAATTTTTTTTTTTTATTAATTTATCAGATCAAACAAAAATTACATTCCAATATAGGCTTAATTAACATCTAAAAACCACAGAGGTTTACCTTGATGCTAAGTAATTAAATTCAAGTAAGCGAATTATGTACAAAACACAGTCTAATTAAATAGTTAGGTATATGAGTAGGTAGAAGGTGTAACAAGAATATAAAGACTAAAAAGGTAAGTTAACAACTTAGTTAAAGTCAGAAGTAGCAAGGTAAAAATAAAAGTAAGAGCTAGGCAGGTAGTATATTATTATTATTAAGTAGATATAGTATGTGTTTATAATTATATAAATAAATTAAATTAATAAAATAAATTATAAGAAACTGCGGTTGCCCACACACCTGCCAAGCGTGCCAGCTATGGAAAAATCCCCTATGAGGCAAACCGTGGGGAAGGTCTATAATCAGCAGTGGTGGTGTAATGGTAAAATGATGGACGAGATAAATCTTAATTTGAGATGTACAAATAAGCTTAATTCAAACATACTGATGTGGCGGTGAATCGGTGTCTCTCAAATCCCACATTTAACCCTTTCCCTGTCCCATTAATCATATATAAACATTTCAATCGTTTAACTATTGTGACTATTTCGGGGACCGAGAACCTGTTAAGGTGCCGTATGCTTGCACAAATCTACTCAGGTTTGCACCTATGTCACTCTTTTTTAAATTACTGCGACGTTCATAGAGGCGGTGCACAGGATCCGTGAAGTTTTTTTTATAATAACAGCGTAATAATGTTAATATGTAAATAATTTATTTATAAGTTTTTCGGTAGAGCTATATCTTAGTGTGTGATGCTGTGTAAGGGTCTTTGTAATAAATGAATATTTTTAATTCTCGACGTTTAGAGTGCTTTGCAGCATCACTAGTGTACTGTTTCACGTACTGTAGTCAAAGCTGACTTGGATTATCCTTTAGTTATTTGAATCAGTTTTTAAATATTTTATATTCTATCAGAAGTTTTCAAGACAACTTCAGAACTTTAAATAATATATGTTTTTTTTATAGGATAGAATGGCAAACGAGGTTACTGTGGCCCATAGACATCTACATCTACCCTCGATTACGAATCAAAATGCAGATGCGTTGTCACCCGTGAGGACTAAGATGGACTCGTCATATGAAACACAGCAGCATTAAGCTAATATTTTACGCTGTTATTCTGTGAGAGCATGGTACTTCACGGTCGCGTCGACCCATTTGTGCTACTACTATACTACTAATATAACTGTAGCATGGCTCTACCACGTATGTTTAGCAAATGGCAGTACTTGACTACCGCCGTGTAGTGGCGGCTAAATAATACCCTACCCCATATCATCCCATGAGCCTCGTAAGAGGTCACAAACGTAAATGAAACAGACAAGGAGCCACAACTCAAAATAATAGAAAAATGCGGTTGGCAACTTGCCTTGCCTTACGGCAATTACGGTTGTCTTACGACAATCTATGAACTCTATGTTTAGCAGACTTGAAAGACTGTAAGAAATTAATGATTAATGAACTATGACACTAGTTGTCTGATACTAAGGCATATGAGGGTAATATGGTCACCCTAAGCTTTGCCGCCCCTATACAACGCCCTATATAAATAGGAGGAGGATAGATACAAAAACACAAAGTCGTATACTATAACTAATATATTTATAAAAAATATAGCAAAAAGCTCGCAATAATTAGGAACACATCTAAGATCAACTTAATAAAAACTAACTACATCACGCCATACTAAAATCGAGTAAAATATTAACTATAATTTCAGCTGTTAAAATGCAGTCCTTTTGACTCTTATTATTTGATTGACTGATGAAAAGCTATCATATCATATAGCCTTCTAAGCAAATAAATTTGTAGTTTTTGAGTTATAAGAAAATGACCATATTGTTGCGCGCCACAATTGATGTCTAGAACTCTCCCACTAGCGCCATCTAGTATTGAATAGAAGAACTAAGCTTTTTAGAAAACTCCACACTCGAATTTTCTACATCTAGTCCTATCTAGTGGAAAAAGCCTATATAAAGGCGTTTGGGGCTGCGATCGGGGCAGAATTAAGTTGGTGAGACAAGCAAAGACTTCGGAGCGAAATAAAGTGAACTAAAGTGTTAAGTGTGATTAATTATTAGTGTGTATTAGTTTTTTTTGGTGTTCGGTAATTAAAGTGTCAATTTTGGTAATTCAATCGGCAGTTTTTATTGTCACGAACCCTAAGCTCGTAACAATATTAACCGGATGACCATATTACCTCACGTACTAGAGGCAATGTAAGACGATAATAATTAAGATTAAAAAGTACCTACTAAGAACTGTAAGGTTAAGCCGCGTGTTCTTCGTTGGAGACTTGATAAAGTCCACTCTGCATCGATACTGACCGCTGTCTTCTGGCCTGTAACAAATAAAATAGTTAGCAATACTATAGTGGGCCGGTTACTATTGACGGTGTAATAACCACTAATACAAACTAGAAGATGAGCAGCAGCGTCTTTCTAATAACAACTAAAGAATATAAAAACTTTTTGCGATTGCCAAACCACTAGAGTGTGGCAACTATGGCAAATATCCCCTATGAGGTAATAACTGTTTTGTATACAGTGAAATGTAAAATCTTAAAGGTAAGAGCACTGCTGTCTGGAAGACAGATATTCAGTTATCTAGTTCGGACACAGATGTTCACTGAACTGTATTTATTTTTAAGCTGCATCTCAAAGTGTTTGTATCCTAGAAATTAAGATATTCTTTGCTTGAAATAATTAATTATTATTATTATAATTAATCTATAGGAAGGGGGGTCTAACTGGTAACGGTTACTGCAGTAAATCAAGTAAAGAAAATAATTCACAAACAAACTTAAAAGTCTACAGGCACACAGGCACCTGCAATCTATAATCAACTTTAAATAAAGAAAACTAAGATGCATTGTCAGTTGTTACCCCTGAGGACCAAGCTGGAATGTTTCACAGCCTGGAATTATACTGGCTTTTTATATAAATAACTTACAGACTGGAAAAAGCACTGCACAGTCTGCCTCACTGCACTGGCGACATGCATTTTTGTGTAGAAAAGGTGTCCTAACACTTAGATTTAGCTACCATAGCTCGATTTTATATCCTTGGCAATACGGGTGACATTAAAGTTAAGAAAAGAAATCAAAATATGTGACGTAGAGTCGGAGATCGTAGCATTATTTCGACATTGACAAATGAAAATAGTGACATCATATTTACAAAAAAATTATAGAGTTCCAACTCATAAATGTTACTATAATACTAATGAACATTTTATAGATAGTACATAAATTTATAGGTTTAACAAAATAATCACTCATTTAAATTGAATTGAAAAAAGGGGTATGAAAGTGAACGCAAGTAAGACGAAGGTTATGGTTTTTGAAAGAGAAGAAAGTAAAACGATTTGTGAAATAAGAATAGAAGGGGAGTTGATCGAGCAAGTAGATGAGTTTGTATATTTGGGCTGCGTATTTAGCAGGGATGGGAGATATGATAAGGATATAGAACGACTAGTGAATGCGGGAAATAGAGTAAATGGGGCCCTGCACTCTATTGTGAAGAGTCAAAATGTGTCAAAAAAGGCACGTATGGCAATTCACAATGCTGTGTTGGTCCCTACTTTAACGAATGGTACTGAAAGTTGGGTGTGGCAGAAGAAGCACGAGAGTAAAATCAACGCAGTAGAAATGCGGTGGTTAAGGAGTATGTTAGGGCTGAATCTGAACGACAGGGTAAGAAATTGTGTAATAAGAGAAGAGTGTGGTTTGCAAGATGATGTTGTGACCAGGATTAAGAAAGGAATGCTTCGGTGGTTTGGTCATGTGGAAAGAATGAATGAGGAAAGAGTGACAAAGAAAATTTATGTTGCAGAAGTGAATGGCAGAGTCGGAAAGGGACGGCGAATTTATCGACCAAATTGGCGATTTATTGAAAACGGGCCAAATTAAGAGCATCCTTAACCGACGAGCGTGTATGCGTAGGTGTATGGATGTGAAGGAGGCGAGAGAGGTGTGTCAGGATCGTGCCAAATGGAAGTCTGTAATCTCTGCCTACCCCTCTAGGTGACAGGCGTGAGTGTTTTTTTTTATATTTTATTTATTAAATTGAATTATATTTCATAAACCACATGACATTTTTATAATTAAATAAATACGCTTCCTCTCTCCCAGCGCGTAAATTGCGTGCCTAACAGGGTCCCATAAAACTGGTCTTACATTATTTTATAACATCTAATGTAATGTACATTATATAGTTTATCAATAAATGTTTGAGTTTGAATTTGATACATTTCCAAATCTTAAAACCACCATTTCCTTTGGACTTCGAGAAACCCGGAATAATCCCTGGTTCCCTTATTTCAAAACGTTACGACTCCACTACGATTCGCTCTACTGAAAAGAGTGCTTAAAATATGATATACAATATATTAGTTTTATAAATCACGACAGTTGAAGGATTTTTCTTTAATTTTATGTTACAGCATCATCAAACGTATACACTTGTTACAGAAATATTTTTGTACGCACCAAATATTATATAATAAAACGTATTTAAACGGCTCGTGTATCGTATCTACTTTTAAGCACTTACTCATTATTTACGCCTATTAAAATAATAGAGTGTTCCGTACATTATTCGCTTGAGAAAGTTCGTTAATGAACTTTCTATAAGACAGGTTGTTTCGAGTAATTTTCTCGCTCCACCGCCTAATTGAATATGGCTACGTCGCAGACGACGTTCTAAGTACAGGAGGCAGTTTAATGAGACTTGTGTAATTAAGTTTTACGCGTCTAATATCTATAAAGCTCTGGGGTCAGTTTAACGCAGCTTTTTTTTTAACATTACTTTTAAAATTTTCTCCTATATCAAGAAAGCTTGTATCAGAAGGGATTTTTGTACAAACAAATTACACATAGAAAATTTTAAGTCGAAAGAGTTATTTTAAGTCATTTAATTAAAAACGCTTGTTACGTGTACGATTGGAACCTGCGGCCCTTCAGCGCCACAATTAGGCGCTTAGCCACTGCGTTGCCGTAATATTTTCAGTTTGATAATTTTACATCATTGTGCCATTACTTCTTGGGAGGCGATGAAGAGATAACTGAGTAATATCTATATAATAACCACCACCCTATATTATCCTGTGGGTGTCATAAAAGGAAATAGGATGCTGAAGCAGGAAACGGGCAGCAGCACCTTTTTGATAAAATATAATAATATTAAAATCATAAAAAACTGCGATTACCAACCCGTTTGCCAATTTTGGTAAAAACAGGCGCTAACGAATGATGAAGAAAAACTAATTTTAAACATTGAAGTAATATGTACTTACGTACTAGAACAGCTATCTCAAACAAAAAATGTGCGCTACTCTGTGTTCGCGCGGTTGTTTTTTTTATCACAGAATAAACATAAATAGAATGATCAGTAGGTAATAATAGATTGTATTGTTAAATAGGTAAATTAAATCGAGAACAATATTTAAATTTTGTCATTTATTTTGTATATTACTTTTGTTTATTTAATATAATATTACATAATATTATATTACAATTACATTTTAATGATATTTTATCTGAATATTTTAAAAGGTATCTATGTCAAATATAAAAAACATACTAAATGTATCTTTAACAAAACTTATTGACATAACATTTAAATTACAAATATATTTATTTAAATTAGAATCAGAGTCGTTCATAAACCTTGGGCACGCGAGAGTTAAAAATGGACGAATTTATTCCACTTTGACTTTGATGTGGAAACCTAAAAATGAAATAGAAGAATAATAAGCAGATTTAAACATGAAAAATTTAGTCTAATTATAATAATTTGTATATGTTTCTACAAAAATGTGTATAATAATATATTCGTCCCATAGTTAAGTACCTACGGAAATGTCGCATCTGAACATATTAATTTCATAATCTACATTCCATGACACGAGATGGCGTCGAAATAATATGTTTTATTATTAATTTACAATACTTTTTTTATTGATTAAGTATGTTATTAACCGATGGAAAGTAATTTCATGGTTTTTATTGACGTTTCTGGAATTATTTGTGCAATATCTAAGTACACACGACGGCATATTTTTATCAAGAGTTTTTTTTTTAAATCAATACAACACGTGACAACTCTACAAGCGCCTAGCGAGTGACTGATTAAAGTTCGGTGTATGCACCGCAGTTGAGTGGAACAGAGTAGCTGAATGCAGTGTCGGCTCTAGTACGTAGTACATAATAGCTCAATGATTTTAAAAAAATCTAAAATATTCTGCCCTTTTTATGTTTTAAATTCAGAATGCGTGGTAATACATTATTTAAACTGATTATCATTTACAAATATTTAACGCCTACTATTTCACTACACACACACACATTTGTAAGCGTCCCTCGGTCAACAAAAACGCTGTTAAATTAATCGTACACGCCACATCGTCGTTGCCCGTAAATCACATTAAATTTGCGATAATTTCAAATAAAAGTAGAAGCCTTCACTATCATTTTCACAAACAGCAACAACGGTATATCATTATGAATTTGAACTCAATTATAATTTAGATATTTCTTGAAAAATAACCTAGCATAATCATTGTACAATTGCTTGCGGTTATTAATTATTAAGATAAAAATTATTAAGACTTTGTTCCTTTTTCTTCGCAGTTCTTCATTAACATCCGTGGACTCGAATAATTAGCTGGCTTCTTTTTTTACTAATACTAAGAATGTATGATGATTCAACCGCTTGTCAAGAATGCCTATCAGAATTTCTATTCCCACATTGTCTTGAGTAGAGACTATTATACAAAATTTTTGCATAAATAGTTAAAGTGACATGGCAAACGTTTTAACAGTTCACTTAATGGTAAGTGGCTACAGCAGCTCATGGACACATGGAACCAATTTTAAACAAAGATTTTTAACACGGATGCATTGTATAAGACACATGGCGATATTTATAGCTGGCTCTCTTGTAATGTTTCTCGGTGGCAAAAATACACAAAATATGGTTATCCAAACCCACAAAAAATCATAAAAACACCTTTACACTTAGTAGAATAAATAAAAAAGAACCTAGAGGAGTCTAGTGTGCGCCAGACGTATAGAAATGAATACGTCTTATGTGCATATTTATAGCGATTTTTTGCATTTATGCAAACACTACTCATTGAATAAAACTATTTTTACGGATTTTAATCGATTCAATTTGGCAATCGGACCAAATCAACAATCACTCCATGACCATGGGTTCTGTAAAGCACCCGAAACGTGGGGTTTAAAAATAAATAAAATTAAAATCCGTTAAAAATGGTTTTATTTAATGCTTTTTTTTTCAATATTCTTTAATTTTTTCACATATTAAAGATACATACCTTAACCTAGTTAATACTAACACAGCAGGGGTAGTGTTAGTCCGAAAGCTTGCCCTTGTGCCCAAAGTGGTAGGGTCAGACCAATGAGAAGTCACACCTTCCCGGGTGTCCAAGCTGTTGGCAAAAACACATTCATGAGAACCTACGTCGAGAAAAACAAATAAATTAAGATACATAATAGCATACAGAAAGTGGTATTTAGTCATCATTATCATCATCACGAGGTACAGTCTGTAGGGACACAGTAGTTGCATACATTTTGCTGAATCGACACTTTGCACTTGCGTCCGGAGTGCGCTCGACCGGCGAACGCCAGTCGTTTCCCGTCACTACCCACGCTAGGCCGCTAAAAAGTAGCAAGTATCAAATATCGCGAATAACAAATATCTTAATCTGTAAAACTGTGATTTCTGAATACAACATGGAGTTTTGGCGGGAACTCTTTTGACGGACTGTCACTCTTGTTTTGTCGCTTGAATAATGGTTTGAAGTGGATTTTAATTCGTAAAAGTGATGAGATTTTGTGAATTAAGAGTCTGCGCTCTGCGCGTGTGAACTATTAGAGAAAACAACGAAACAAGTGATTTGATGTTGATATAAACCTCAAGTTAACTTGATCGCTTGGGCGCCTTATGAACTTGAGTGGCTGTCGTCATCAACAGTCCGCTGGGTCGAGCTGTCGTCAAAATCACCCAAAAACTTCGCAATGTGACGCATCAGCATATTGTGAAGAAAAAATATATAAAATGAAGATTCTGAAAGAAATGATAGGCTCAGAAGGGCTAGTACCCAGAGCCGTAAAGCCAGTTAAATAAAACAAATTAATACAACATCAGTGACTTATGAGACTTATTACTGAACCCGATAGGCACCTTTGGCACCTTCTGTGAGTCTTTTACGGGACTATCAGGCATAAGTAACTAGTACATTAATAACCACACACCATACAACGCCCGTACAAGTCCATCACAACTGTTGAACAATAGGTCTCGCTATCAAGGAATGCTACAAAGCACGGTTCTAATTCACCTGCATCTCTTATCAGATGGTCCCTCCATCTAATAAAAAAAAATCAATCTTTCATACTCATCGGTTATCGGTTCTTTAATCGGTATGGTGGGCTCATTGCCACTTACACTTGTGATCCGTTGGGATACTGTAGTTAATAAAAAATTAAAAAAAAAACTTAAATGAGGGTGAGTGGGTACACGAAATATGCATCAATAATTAACAAACGTCAAATTAAAAATTCTATTATAAGTTTTCAACCAATGTAATTTCAAACAAAGTTCAAATAGCTAAAATTTAAAATGACTTCGGTTTTATTTTCAGGTCGCAGTTTTTGAACTTTAATTTCATTAAAAACTTTTAATGGCAAAAAGGGCTCGACTTTTAAAACCTACTCCATAGTGTAGTTAGCACCTTTTTCTTTTCTTCAAAAGAATATTTAGTTAACCATATCGAGAAGCAGCCAGCAACAGAGTAACTAATATAGCACAACGCATGAGTAACTAAAGTGACAGACGATTTTTTTTGGTAGCATAACTCCCACAATAGGCCTTACTTCTGTACCTTGAAGGCAGTTTAAATACATAAATTGCACAAGGGCAAACATCAAGACCCGAAACAATTAGTTGCATTCCATACAAAAACTTGTTTCGTGCGAGATGCGAACCCGCGGCCCTTAGCGGAGCTACTCAATGCTTATCTAGTGCACCACGGAGCCGTAAAAATTTAAGTGGCTATTGTACTATACTACTTACTATTAATGTATGAAATACTGCTGCACTGCTGAACGTATTAGGAATTTCAAAGTTAGAAGAGAGTTACGCTAGGAGTTTCTTTGATTGATAAAATTCGAAATAAAGTTATCCGCAGCCAGAACCAGACTAACCGATATAGCACAAAGGATCAGTAAACTGTAGTGACCAGGCCATGAGAATGGGTCAGCCATATAGCTCGAAAAACCGACAAGAAATAGGAATTGAATAAAACTAATTTCACGGATTTTATCGCGTTTAATTTACATAATTTTAACTGTCGACACGTCACGGTTCACACCACACACGGGTTACACTCCACGGTCACGGGGGACTGAAGTGACTAAAGTTCCAATGTCAGAGTTCAGACATCTGGTCCCTGAGCTTCAGCATGTCAAGCAGGTTCTGCACGAAAACAATCTTACGTCACAGTGACCAAGTGAAGCCGGCCACAGTCAAACGAGTGCCTGCTGTACTACCATATGTTAGAGGTGTCACAGACAAAATTGGCTATATCTTGAAGCAAACCTCTATTAGAATATTCTACAAGCCGCCGGAGATTAGTCAGTTCTTACCATCCGTCAAGTGTAGTATACCTTCAGAAGATGCAGGAGTGTACAAGCTTGATTGTAAATATGGTCTCCCATATAACAAAACACAGAATTCGCGAGTGTAGAGAATCGGAAAACCTTTTTACTGGATACGAGGCATTCTATCTTGGTCGCTAACAAGCTATTTCTAAGCTATAAGTGTAAGATATATTATTGAAAGCTGTTTTATTAAAATCCCGCTACGTTTCTTGCTGGTTCTCTCATGACAGAGCGTTTTTTCTCGGAACCTCTCTTGGTATTAAAGAAGAGTGATTTTCAATAGGTATTATTTATAATCTATACAGAATAAAAGAAAATTTAAGAAATCATTATAAAATAAGAAATCATTAAAAGAGTTTCTATTTCTATTTCAGACCTCAGTGGCGACAACGTATCCGCAATTTTATTCCTGTTCAAGGATAAATGTAAATGTTTATGCGCCACAGTATCTCAATTACCATCAGGTGGACTGTGTACTAGTTTATCACCCTAATTCTATAAGAAAAAAACTATACACATGAATCTGTGTTGATAAATTTTCACATTTTATATTACCTTTTTAAAACTTTTTCTAAATAAGCACTAGACGCTAGCATTAACCCTCTCATAGAGTTTCAGCGTATAGTGAACAACTCTGAACAAGAGAAATTTTCCCATTGTAAAACTTTGAATGCAATACTAACGCACCGGCTGTGCTTCAATTCTGAAGCACGTCTACGTAAGAGCTACAGCAGAGAAAAATGCAAGTTTTTTTTACAATGTGTGCACTATTACCTATTGCATAAGGTCTCTTAATCAACCTTTGCAATAATGTGCCAATCACAATTCCTATGAGAATCGTGTCGCTAAAAGGCCCCGTGGTCTTAGAAAAACGCATTTGAGTGATATAGGAAGTTGAAAAAGTATAAAAAAAGATTTGAAAAAGAAAAGGGGGTACGATACAAATTTGGCTCTGCATCGTACGCTATACGAAGTAACTATTAGTTAATTGATTTACCTGCTCTCACCTCGCTATACAGTCGGTTTAGCGCAAATTTGATAAGGATTTATTTAGAATATATTATGCTCATAATATTGTTTTGGATTTTCAGAAGTTGTATGAATTTCAGAGTCTAGTGTATCGGAGCAGGGTTTATTTCTTCTTACACTTCCAGGTCACAGCCTAAGAAGAACATCAGTCAGTCATCGCGTTTGATGTTGTCGGGAAAGCCGACATAAACAATAAATTGTTAGGATTGCGGAACGGGTAGTAATAAAAAACTGATTTTATTTTCAATTGTGTATGTGGAAACTGATGAAACTATACAGTATTAAATTATGAGATATAATAGATGGAAAAAACAAAGTATCTAATACCTTATCTTTAAATGAGGACGACCCACATTTTTGTACCGCACTTTTAGTGTGAACCATTTTAATTTCTTTGCGTGACCGGACAGCTCTAGCGGACAGTTCCCGAGTGACTAACGGCCACTCGGGAGCGCTCCGCCCGCGTCTCGCCCCGTTCCGCACCACCCGATTGCCCATCGTCTTCGATCACCGACTGTTAAACGGGCTACACACGAGACGATATCAGTGGCGATCTAGGGTGGAAAGAAATCGGGGCTTTTATCGGGGCAGACCCTACACACGGACCTGCCTAGCAGTACGCGTTCGGACTTGGAGCGGAACACATATGCGGTAGAGTTCTTCAAAATAGCTTCAACTCTCTTAAAACACCAATATATTGGTTTGGCATTAGCCCTCTCGGTAAATTTATTCGAAAATAGAAAAAGAGGAGTTGCTGGGTGAAAAAATGGCTCCAAAAGAGACAAAAATTAAGTCACATAAACGTACTAAATGATTTGTATTCCAAAGACATGATTAATTTTCTCCGGATGGATGAAGACAGTTTTTATAACCTTCTAGAAATGATTTCGCCACTTATATAAAAACATCAATTTCTCCTATGTACCTATGCTATTTAGTTATTTCTTCTCTTTGTTCATTTCTGCTTTGGTCAAAATCTGGTTATGTATTACACACAACAAACAAGGAAATAAAATACTTTTGTATAATAATATGTATACTTTTTTTTAAATGTAATCTTTATTTATGGAGTAAAACTATCAGAAAATAAAATAGCTTATATTTTTTTTTAAACATAAAGAAACCTTTAATTTCGGACATACTCCCTTTTATATAACTTGTTTGTTGATGTGGAGATGGTGAAGGAGTAGAAGTTAGTTGTTGATAAGAGGATGAAGGCACGTAAGAGATCGAAGTGTGGTCTTGTGGAGTTGTAAGAGATATGAGTGCGGTCTTGTGTTGATAGCGTTGGAATAGGAGTTAGTTGTTGAGGAGAGGCTTTATCTTCTCCTTACTTGCATCATACACTCTACTTTACGAACGGCAATAAAAAAATTAGTTTAGTAGGCATTCTTGACCATGTCACTTCGCAGGGTCACAGGCTAGGGTGGATATGATTTGAATTTCGATAAAATTTCAATAAATTTATTTATTTTATTCACTTTTTTTTTTGGTTTTTTTTGTAAAATATCAGTGCCATAGGCTTCTACTCCGTTTATATGATTAAAATGTAAAAAATTTGTTATATAAAAAAGGTCATTCAGTATCACTGTTTTGTTAACTTCCTTCCGCGAGGATTGCCGGCAGCGACTGCCAAAAGAAATCGGGCCGATGCGCCTACACACACGCAGTAAGGAGGGGGCGGTGCCCCGATCTAGGATGCATCGGCTGATCTAGGAAGCATTTTTGCTCCTGCCAGCCGATTAAGGAGGCGATATCGGCCACGACTTAGGATGGCCCTACATACGACACGATTTAGAGGCAATCTAGGAGGCATCCCCACTACTCCACCCTAGATCGCCACCGATATCGTGTCGTATGTAGCCCGCTTTAGTAGTATTTAGACTGTGCTTATGTTATACTCGTTGAAAATACTTGGATACTGAGGTCGGTCTACAGATTATATAACAAGTTGCGTAATATGTCGTAAATTAAGATACGTGTAAATGTCCAGTCAAAACAACAAGCAGCACGACGGCCTCAACTCTGTTTTATTGTGTATGTCTGTCTTTCAGGGTTTTGTTTGACTTTAATGGTCATTTACTCAAAATCATGTTGATATTCCTCTTTAAAAGCACGACAGTTAATCAATGTCAATAAAATATTAAAATATTTACATACGTAAATACATAAGCTTGTTCATACATAAACATAGACTTCTATTTGGCACGATTCTGGCATACTATTGTCGCTTCTTTCATTTATATATGGGTGAATATACGCTATTTGGATTCCAATGATCCATAGAGAAATTTTATGTTAAGCTTATTATATCATTCTTACTGTATGCTTAAGCAATAATGAATATCGTCTTTTATTTGGCCTACAAAGTCGATTCATTACAATTGTTTAATATGAAGCATTAATAGTTTAAAATACTTATAAATGTATCTCTGGCCTCTTCAATTACCAGATTGTACAATATTATGGTCATATGCTCTAAATACTTATGCCATTATGTTTTCTATTAATATGATCGTATGCCTAAATAAATATCGAAACATATTTTATCAAAATACATTGTATTATAAAAAAATATATTCTTTTCACGTTACGTGACAATTCTGTCACCTCATCTGGCGAAACTGATAGACTAAAAATTTTACATAAACCCGCTAAAGTATGTTTTCACCTTTAACTACGCGTTAAGTATAGTGTGAAGCTAGAAGCAAGCTAACGGCGTTGAGCAAAACTCATATAATAATGCGTCAGTTTTCGATTCACTGAAGGAAAACGTGTTTGTGCCAGTCGTTGTAGTATTTCCCTAGGTAAGTATATGTTTTTGTATTTTGTCGTTACGAAATTGTAAATTTGCACACTGCAAGTTTTATTGTGTAGATTTCATGTTATACGTTGCGTGCGATTTTGTCAATTCCCTGGCGTCACTTCTCTGTCATATTCCATACCAGAGGAAATACATACTCACCAGGGAAGTGACGAAATTTTGTTTCGTTAATATTTAACGTTATAATGCTTCATTTAATTTGTTCTAGGTTCTTGGTGGAGCCACGTGTCTAAGGTTGCCGAAGTCTAATTCCCCGGTCGAACCTTAAACCTATTACGCGAGATATTAATCTGAGTGGACTGTATCTACAAAATGCTTCTACACTTATATATGCGGTACAATGCACTCGCTCTTCCCTAAAAACGAACTATTATTTGCCAAATTGATGAAAGGAATCCTGCTTGATTAGGAAAACACAAAATTGGAGCGGGTTAAAACAATTATATCAAGCAGGCTATAATATTGGATATTGACTCACCGGGATGTTTCTTCTATGCGGTCGAGCACTATAACTGCGACTTCTGGAACACTCCGGAGAGAGGCGGTGCGCGACTATATCTCACACGAGGTGAGGCGGGTTTCCTGGAGCTCGATTGCTTCCAGGCTAAAGTGGTTTCTACTAGCGGTGTGGTTTCAACGACGAGCGCGGCGGGAAGAGGCCACGCGTCGGTCGCGCGTGCCTTATATATCCTCGGTTCCGATGATTATATGATATTCTAGAATCATCTTCTTTCCCCTCCCACCCCACCACCCCGATGTGTCGATAGGAGGGTATGAATGATATCGTTTTGGAAAGGGATAACCGATTTGGCAGCCTACCGTCAAATAAAATAAATACGAATGGTTTTCCGCGCAACCAGTTCTAAAGCATAATCATATATCATGGCAAATGTTAAATAGAAGCAAACAAAGGAAGATAGGCTAGAAAAATAAAATGAAAATTACGCTGCCAAAGAATTAAAAATGATTCGGTTAAAAATGATGAATCAAAAGAAAAAGAAAAGTGGAATAGTAAAAAAAAAAACAAATTAAGAGCATTAGTAATATGATTGAAATGGAACAAAGAGATGTTAGAAAAATATGGAGAGAGAGAAGAATAAAGAGCATAGAAATCGCATGAAGCTACAATATACCAGAAACTATCCAGTAACGCCACCTGCGTCTGATAACGACGACCATCCTCCAATTCCACAAAACAGTTTTTTTTTAATATAGAATAAGGGTGACAAATGAGCACAACAGCCCACCTGATGGTAAGTGGACGCTGTTACCAATAGACAACTACAATTATCCTCAAATAAGAATCAAAATGCAGATGCATTGTCACAACTAAGTATGAGGGGAATGTTTCGTTTCCAGTGACAAAGGTGCCCGGTTCTCCACACTCACGATAGGAAACACAGTAGCATTTAAACTACTATTTTATGCTGGTATTACCCGGGTCGAGACGACCCATATGTGCTACAATCATAATGTAGCTGCAGCGTGGCTCTACTACGTAAAAATATAGTAAATCTATTAAATAGGACAATAATAAATATAGTAATCATATAACAGTAGTCAGCTGAAACCACTAAATAAAGTTATAAAAAGCAAAAATATGAAATTAAACAGTTACATCAAAAGGTACATGTGAGTATCAAAAGAAGCTTGCATTTTTTTTTTGCATATGTTCGTCAGATTTTGATGAAGAAGGAGAGATCAGGGTTACTTTTCTATGGATTGAAGGTACTTTTTTAGAATAGATGACAATGACACGTCTGATATTAGATAGGAACAGATCTTGACCATACTACTAGTGCCAAATATACTTATGAAGGGAAACAGAGTATTCTACAGGTTACCAAAGCCGGTTGATGTATTTGAACAGTAAATTTTGATTGCTTTGTATTTAAGTAAACAATATTTAATTTAATCGAAATTATTGATTATTTTCTTTGCACAAGTGATAAAATTGAAAATTTCGTACAACCGACATCAATACAAATAAAATTAGAACATTATTAATGTATTCGAAGCCAATTAAAGACGAATTATGAAGATAACTCAAAAACTACGGGTCAGATCTTGATCAAATTTATATGGAACCACACGAGAAGCATCAGCTTTCAAATAATAAAAGAAGCGTCAAAATCGGTATTACCCGGAAAAAAATTTGAGGTAAAATAAAAAACATACAGTCAAATTGAGTACCTCCTTCTTTTTGAAGTCGGTTAAAAACATATTTTTTTTTTTTTTAATGTGCATTAATAATTTTTAAGTCTATTTGTTCAGATAGCTACGAGACTGATAGGTGTATCATTAGATATTACTACTGGTTTTTAACCGAATTTTATCTTTTTATTTTATTTAGAAATTTTATTTAGATCGCTTTTAAGTTTTTGAACATTTTGTAATTAAAATCTGTCAAACAGTATGTAGTATGATTTTATATTAGATGATTTTATATCACTTAATTCGGTTTAAATCTCAGATGGGACTAATAACCAGAAATTATTAATTCTGTTAAAATCACTAGGGTAATTGAAACTTAAGCATTAATATTAAAAATAATTTTGCACATTGAAACTGTTGAGACTGAATGTATTTTATTAAAATATGCAGACTATAATTTATATGTATTATATTCAACATCATTCCCCTTTCTTATCCAATAATGAATAGTCTGTCACTTCCCTAATTTAATTTGAATAGTCTGTCACTTCCCTAATTTAATTTGTCACTACTCTGCCAATAATGTAACTCCCCTGATAACACATTTTCTCCTGGTGCTTATAATATTCAAATATGATATATTCAATTTATATCACCCTCGTCATACATGCTCCTCGATTAAGGATACTCGTACTCTTAATTTCGGACATCCATTAAATATACGGCGAAATGTACATGTACAAACTATTAAAGCATATCTTTCTTAATATTCATCAGAACACCGTTTTAAAAACCACACTCTTCTTATATCAAACAATTTTACACTCAATCATCCAGTAACACCTAAAATACTCCTTTATTATAGCATTGCTACAGTGCTAGAGAGAGAGAGAGAGAGAGAGAGAGTAAATAAAATTCTATAATTTTAACTGAAACTATTATAAATTATTAAAAAAACAATTATATATTCCCGAACTTACGAATATATCGGCGTCTCATGTCCTTGCTTGTACCAGATGACGAGACCCACTCTATCCTCGGCTAGTGCGGGTTGCACGTCGCATGGTAACTCCACAATTCCGCCAGTTGGTGCGTGTATGGACTCCACGTCCACTGTAAAATAAAACATATTTGAAATATTTGAACGCATATATCAACAGAAATTAAGGGTAGATTAAGAGAAATGGACTAAAAGAGTAGTCTAACGCACAGTAGGGGATGGCACTGTAGATCATCGAATAGAAATCCTGTCGTCTAAATCAAGAGTATGAGTATTTTTTTTAAAGTTAAAGTAACAGCCATACATACGTCTCACAACTGGGCGCAAGGCCTCCTCTCATTTCTGAGAGGGTTGAGGGAGGGAGGGGCAAGAAATATCCACCGCGCTGCCCCAATGCGTGTTGGCGTGTTTTCGAAATATTTTTTTTCTTATTTTCAGACATGCAGGTTTCCTCACGATGTTTTCCTTCACTGCCGAGCACGTGGTAAATCAGCGCTTAAAATTGCAATTAACAATTTATTAAAAGGGGTCGAACCTGGGTTTTTACAGCGAGCACTTAACCTCTGAGTTACCACGGCTCTAGTCTTTTTTATGTCTATGTAAAATTGTATATCATATTCGTAATCCTTCTAACGAACTGGACAGAAAATATTTACCCGTATTTTAATATCTCAATTGAAAGTAGATGCAACAAGCCAGAAGCGCAGTGTATTGCAAACTTCAAGTGCAATTTACGATCTTACTGATTGCACTCTTGATAAACATTTCAAAAACTTTGGCTGCATGCGAACATAATTATTTCTGGTTTCTATATTCGTTTGCCTTAACGACCAGTTTTGTAGTCCGACATTGCTTGAAAAAAAAACCATTTTAAAACAAATACTGGTTCAAGAACTAACGAAAAGCCATAAGTAGTTTTATTTTTGAATCGTTTTAAGTTGCCGAATGAATAATAAAGTGAAAAAAAATTAATTAAAAAAGACTTCCGTGATACCATCGGATCGTAAAGAAATGTTTGTTGAATATGGAAATCGGGCATTAGCCAGAAGCGGGAACATACAAATGGGAGCACCGCGGTAGACCATTTACCACGGGAAATGCTCATAATAATTGCTTGCATTAAATTCAGCCGACAGATTGTACCATCGATCATAGCTACAAAACTCTCGATAGCATCAACATCATCTTTATGCTTGGCGGTCCACCAGTTTGCAATTTGCTAGTAGTTTCCTTCCTCGCACAACTGCTTTGTAAAATCAGCTACCAACAGCGATTTTTCGAAAATTTAGGTCAAAATTTTTGCCAAATAGGCCTGCTGTTCATAGAAAATACAGGTAATAATAATACTTACGCTAAGATTGTCTATTTGCTTACAAACTGGGCACATCAATCTGAGATTAATGAATGGAAAAATCGATACATTAGATTCAATAATGGACCATTTTAATCGATCTGAACCACTGGAAAAATATAAAATTCACAGTAACAGGATATTTTTATAGCATTGGGTGACAAACGAGCACACAGTCCACCTGATGGTAAGTGAATGCTGTGGCCTGTAGACATCTTTAACTAAGGATCAAAATGCAAATGCGTTGTCACCACTGACAACTAAGATGGAATGCCTCGATTCCAGTTAAAAAGGGTCACCGGTTCTCTACACTCACCATACGAAACACAGCAGCATTACGCTGCTCTATTACGCTGGTAATTCTGCGAGAGCGTGGCCCTGCCCCGGTCGAGCAGACCCATTCATGCTACAACTATAATATGGCTGTAGCGTGTTTCTACCACTTAAAAAGTGTGAGCTAGTGTACGCGCAAGCACTACAATGTCTTTTTGGAGCCTATGAATTTAAAAAATAAATGTTTTATTTTACCTTCTTTTATTAAATATTTCTCCCGAAAATCACCCCAAAATTCCGACATTTTTAAATTTTGTTCAAATATTTTGGTCTTCCGATCTGACATTCCTAACATCGAGGCAGTCATAGAAGTACACCAGTAAACTTAAATATCAAATCAACTAGTACAAGTAACGAAAATATTATTGTTAGCATAGAACGCTCAAACAGATTGTGAAACATCACAAAACATCCAACGACCCATATCATCACAATGTCAACGCAAGGCTATATGAGCTGTGTTCGCACAATACTAGCGATTACACAATACGAGCTTCATGTTCTATTAACTCAGTTTATAATAACGACCTGGAATTTTTGCTGATCTTAATGTACCTACCTACAATCCTACAACATTATTAGTTTTTAATGTCCAAATGTAGAGATTTTTTTTGTACGGGCAGCCATACATGTATTCTTCAGAATATATGTCGTGATTGCTGCTATGGCCGTAGTTCTCTAACGTCATTGAATGAGTTGCTTAGACGTGAACAATTTCACTTTATCTGGGCTAGCCAGATAAAGTGAAATTGTACCCAATCAGTTTGGATGTGCAGAGGTGTTTGTTCCGTTAAGGCAAAGAATCGGCAATATTTTACGACTTGTTTAGTCTCGAAATGGACATGTACTTTTTTAGTTTTTATTAACAATATCCAGTCAGGGCTCTGCGAAAATACTGAGTAAAATATAGTGATAGTATTGCTTCTGACTCTGTCGAAGCCTCAGTACAATCACGGGACTTGGATTCGAATTCCCATCCTCCGGTCCTATTAAGAATACTTTAATTTGCAAAAAAAATAAAATTGTGGGCACTCATGGGCAAAAAAACTATCCTATCTCTCAAGATGGACCAAACTATACACGGTGTGCAAATTTGATTAAAATCGGTTAAGTAGTTTAGAAGTCCATCGCGGACAAACAACGTGACACATATATATTAAGATAAGATATAACCTATACAAGTTGCACTGCAAGGCAATGGAATATATAGCCTTTCCACATTTCTCAAAAGGGTTATAATTAGTCCGGCGTACGCATTATTCACATGTTTTCGAAACGTTTTATTCCTGTAGGTTTTCTAACTTTGTTTTCCTTTACCACCACATTCTAAATTAATACTTAAAATTGCAATTGAAACATGATCGGTGCCAGCAGCTCCGTCAAACAAGAATTTACTGCTGCGATTTACAGGCGGATTAATAGACGTATCTTAAATGCGAAACCCCGGTCCGGTTGTTGTACTTTAAGCATGGTATTCTGGAAAACGTTACAATTAATTAACGAGCATAAATAAGTATTTTGGTATTTCCGTTGGCCTAGCACACGCTTAAACAAAAAAAAAAGATAAATTAATTTTTCTCTATAATGTTATTTTGTTCTTTACAGTTCAAGTGGAAGTCTCTAGAATCACTTTTATGACCAAACGGCTACGTAAAAGACCAATGAAAAATCTTATTAATAAATTCAGAAAACAAGGTTATCTTCGATGAAGAATCAACATGCAGATGCATTGTCACCCCTGAGGACTAACACGGAATCCCTCATTTTGACTATCAAGGATATTTTCCGTCTGGCATAAACGAGATGTTTATACCGCCATCTATCGGAAGTCAGAAGTCGTAAGATCCTGAAATTTCCTATTATATCTTCTTACCAGTCCCACGAGACCACAGAAATCGTAATAAGACAATAGAAATGAATTAGCGCTCGATTACTTTCAAAACCGATGTCGCCACACATCTTACCGTATTAAAAACATACGCAATGCACAATGATATCTAATGTTTTACATTACATTGCTTGGCGAGTATGTCAAGGTCGCGTGTGTCGCGTATTACGGTAGAACAAAAGCAGCAATGGTAATTGTACACTACGAAAAGTAATAAATGAGTTTGTAAAGTAAAGTAAAGTAAAGTATTCATCTAGATGTAAATTAATTAAAACAATGACAATTAGTAAATAATCCTCCTTTTTCTCCAAAACAATGGAGTCCATTGTAAACTGCCAGCTCATGAGTTACCTTGAGGATCACCAGCTTTTTTCCAGCTTTTTTTTTTTCGGTTTTCGCCGTGGTCGATCAGCTGGTGATCTTCTGGTCTACCTAACTCATAGACGGGGGCAGGCAGTAGAGTCCAAGGGGGAGGCATTGGCCGTTCGTTTGGACATTGCGAAGGCCTTCAATCGGGTTTTGCACAAAGCGCTTCTTACGAGGCTTCGTTCCTATGGGCTTCAAGGCACTCCCCTTGTTGCCTCAGCCAGTATCGGAATCCTCGGCGTCGACATATCGAGTGACGTGCAGTTTCGTGGTCACTTGGAAGAGAAGGCCAAATTGGTTTCTAAAAAGCTTGGCGTGCTCAGCAGAGCGGGACAGTATTTCATGCCGGCACACCGCCTGCAAATTTACAAGGCGCAGGTTCGGCCGCACATGGAATACTTTTCCCATCTCTGGGCTGGAGCTCCCCAGTATCACTCCTTACACTTGACCGCATCCAGCGCAGAGCGGCTCGAATCATCGACAACCGAGGGCTTTCCGATCGGCTCGATCCACTGGCGTTGCGAAGAGATGTTGCATCTCTTTGCATATTTCATCGCATCTATCACGGGGAGTGCTCTGAGGAATTGTTCGGATTAATCCCAGCCGCCAAATTTCGTGAACGCACTACGCAGCAAACGTCCCGATACAATCAAAACCATCTGGATGCTTGGCAGTCCACCACTGTACGTTTCAGAATGACTTTTCTTCCGCGTACGACCTCTCTGTGGAATAGTTTACCACCGGCGATTTTTCCGGACCGATACGACCTGGGGACCTTCAAGAAAAGAGCTTACTCCTGTCTAAAGGGCCGGCAACGCACCTGCAATTCCCCTGGTGTTGCGGTTGATCATGGGCGGCGGTAGTCACTTAACATCAGGTGAGCCGCATGCTCGCTTGCCCCCTCTTCTATAAAAAAAAATCAACTTACTGATGAAATTTTATGCCTTTATTAGTACAATTACACGTCCTTGATGAGTTTTTACAACTGATTATGCTGCAGTGCACGATTATAAATTTATATTAACAAAAATTAACGTACGACATTCCCCGCACAACTAAATCACAAAATGATGAATTTTGTAAGTCAACCCATATAAGCGCCGACAAGGTCACGCGTCTACGCGATTTCTACTGTCTATTATTACGATGTCCGTGTACGGGACGATTTGGAGAAA